GCAGCAGCAGCATCATCATCATCATCATCATCAGCAGCAGCAGCAGCAGCATCATCATCATCAGCAGCAGCATCATCATCATCATCACCATCATCCTCATCATCATCATCACCACCATCATCATCATCATCATCATCATCATCATCATCAAAATCATCATCATCATCGCCATCATCATCATCATCATCATCATCATCATCATCATCATCATCTTCATCGTCATCATCATCATCATCATCATCATCATCATCATCCGCATCATCATAGTCATCATCATCAGCATCATCATCAGCATCATCATCACCATCATCATCAGCAGCATCAGAATCATCAGCATCATCGTCATCATCATGTTCATCATCATCAGCAGCGGCATCATCAACAACAACATCACCATGAGCAACACCATCGTCATCATAATCAAAATCATCACCATCATCAACATCATCACCATCATCATCATTATCATCATCATCATCAACAACATCACCATCATCATCATCATCATCATCATCATCATCATCATCATCATCATCATCATCATCATCATCATCATCATCATCCGGAGCGCTTCGGATCGGCGGCACTGGCCGGAGGCCAGCACAGTATTAAAGGGGCCAAGACCCCAAATTGTCATATCTCCTGGGCCGTGTCGCGTGTCCCCGCGTGTTCTCGCGCACTCTTGCATGACTTGTTCTAGCCCACGAGGGCCCCGAAACGGGTCACCGAGAAGCCCAAAAGACGGGCCAAGAGGATCCCGAGAGAAGCCCAAGGCAGGCCCCAGAAAAAAGCACGTACCGACATTTCCAGCTCTCCGCCCCAAGAAGAACTCCGAGACAGCCAGCAGGCCCCCAAGAAGCGCATCAGCCACTCCAGCAGGCCCCCAAGACGCCCACATCAGGCCCCCAGAGAGGCCCCCGAGAGGCCCCGAAGCCACCCCAAAACCGACGAGGCCTCTGACCAAGACGGCCCAAGATGGCCTCAAGATGGTCTAAGACGGTCCAAAAGGCCCGCAAGAGGCCTCCAAGACGGCCCAAGAGTTCTCCAAGAGGTCCTCCAGGAAGGTCCGACGAGGCCGAAATCATTATTTTTCCTTAGGTTGGTGAAGAATTCTGGCATTCGCGCATATTCGGCTTTCCGACGGCCCAAGACGGCCCAAGAGGCTCCCAATATCGCCCAAGAGGCCCACGAGAGGGCCCCATGACGGCCCAAGTGGCCTCCAAGACGGCCCCAAGAGAGCCCCAAGACGGCCCAAGAGGCCTCCAACACGCCCAAGATGGCCTCCAAGACGCCCAAGATGGCAGGAACCCACCAAGATGGCCGAAGTTGGCTCGAAGCTGGCCCAAGACGGCCCAAGAGGCCCCGAAGAGGGCCTCCAGGAAGGCCAGAAGAGGCCAAAACCCTTAATTGTCCTACGGTGTTTGACGGGTGTTGACATTTGCTTCTTTTCGGCCTTCCGACGGCCCGAGACGGCCCAAGAGCCCCCAAAGATCGCTGAAAGATCGCCCAAGAGGCCTCCAAGATGGCCCCAGAACGGCCCAAGAGGGCCCCAAGACGGCACCAAGAGGCCCCCAAGACGGCACAGGAGGCCTGAAAGACGTCCAAGATGGCCTCCAAGACGGCCCTGGAGCATTCCAAGAGGGCCCCAAATCGGCCCATAGAGGCCCCCCAAACGGCTTCCGACGGCGTCAAACGGACCAGGAGCCCACCAAGACGGCCGAACATGGCCCTAAGATGGCGCCTCCAGGAAGGCCCGAAAAGGCCAAAATCATTGATTTCCCATGGGTTGTTGAAGGATTGTGGCATTTGCTTTTTGTATGCCTTCCGACGGCCCGAGACGGCCCAAGTGCCCCCAAAGATCGCCCAAGAGGCCCGAGACACGGCCCCAAGAGGCCCCCAAGACGGCCCAAGAGGTCTCCAAGACGCTCAAGATGGCCTCCAAGACGGCCCAAGAGCCCTCCAAGACGTCCTCCAAGAAGGCCCGAAAGGGTCAAAATGGCCTCCAGACGGCCAAGATGACCTTCAAGATGCCCACGTGTTCCCCGAAGGCTTTCCAAACCGATTCGGGGAACACATGGTCCGATAGCTTGGCAGGTCTGGCCTCAACGTTCGGCCACATAGGCGCTTCCAAAAAGGCAGGGGGCGGCGGTGATTCGCCGTAGGCGTCTTCGATACCCGAAGCCCACGACATGCGGGCGCCGACAGGAAGCTATGACCGCAGTGCACGCGACAGCCACCTCGGCCTCTGGGTAGCAATTATCCCGGCAAAGCAACCTAACAGCGACGTGTAGGAGCATATCTGGGAGCATTCCCCTTACGATTCAAATGAGAACCCAGTTGTAGAATTCCGCTGTTCTCGCAGTCGTAGTCGCATTCGCGATGACAGTCGCAGCGGCAACGGCAGTCGCAGTCACAGCCTCAGCCTAAGCCTGCCTCAGCATCAGCCTCAGCCTGCATGAGCCTCAGCCTCAGCCTGCTTCAGCCTCAGCCTCAGTCTGCCTTCAGCCTCGGCCTCAGCCTCCACCTGCCTCAGCCTCACCCTGCATGAGCCTCAGCCTCAGCCTCAGTCTGCCTCAGCATCAGCCTGCATCAGCCTCAACCTCAGCCTGCCTCTGCCTCAGCCTCAGCCTGCTTCAGCCTCAGCCTCAGTCTGCCGTCGGCCTCGGCCTCAGCCTCAGCCTGCCTCAGCCTCAGCCTGCATCAGCCTCAGCCTCAGCCTCAGCCTGCCTCAGCATCAGCCTGCCTCAGCCTCAGCCTCAGCCTGCCTCAGCCTCAGCCTCAGCCTGCTTCAGCCTCAGCCTCAGTCTGCCTTCAGCCTCGGCCTCAGCCTCAGCCTGCCTCAGCCTCAGCCTGCATCAGCCTCAGCCTCAGCCTCAGCCTGCCTCAGCATCAGCCTGCCTCAGCCTCAGCCTCAGCCTGCCTCAGCCTCAGCCTCAGCCTGCTTCAGCCTCAGCCTCAGTCTGCCTTCAGCCTCGGCCTCAGCCTCACCTGCCTCAGCCTCAGCCTCCTCAGCCTCAGCCTCAGCCTCAGCCTGCCTCAGCATCAGCCTGCCTCAGCCTCAGCCAGCCTGCCTCTGCCTCAGCCTCAGCCTGCTTCAGCCTCAGCCTCAGTCTGCCTCAGCCTCGGCCTCAGCCTCAGCCTGCCTCAGCCTCAGCCTGCATCAGCCTCAGCCTCAGCCTCAGCCTGCCTCAGCATCAGCCTCAGCCTCAGCCTCAGCCTGCCTCAGCCTCAGCCTCAGCCTGCTTCAGCCTCAGCCTCAGTCTGCCTTCAGCCTCGGCCTCAGCCTCAGCCTGCCTCAGCCTCAGCCTGCATCAGCCTCAGCCTCAGCCTCAGCCTCAGCATCAGCCTGCCTCAGCCTCAGCCTGCCTCTGCCTCAGCCTCAGCCTGCAGCCTCAGCCTCAGCCTCAGCCTCAGCCTCAGCCTCAGCCTCAGCCTCAGCCTCAGCCTCTGCCAGCCTCAGCCTCAGCCTCAGCCTCAGCCTGCCTCAGCCTCGCCTCAGCCTGCCTCAGCCTCAGCCTGCCTCAGCCTCAGCCTCAGCCTGCTTCAGCCTCAGCCTCTGCCTTCAGCCTCAGCCTCAGCCTCAGCCTGCCTCAGCCTCAGCCTCAGCCTCAGCCTCAGCCTCAGCCTCAGCCTGCCTCAGCATCAGCCTGCCTCAGCCTCAGCCTCAGCCTGCCTCAGCCTCAGCCTCAGCCTGCTTCAGCCTCAGCCTCAGTCTGCCTTCAGCCTCGGCCTCCAGCCTCGGCCTCAGCCTGCCTCAGCCTCAGCCTGCCTCAGCCTCAGCATCAGCCTGCCTCAGCATTCAAAATGTGGCCCGGGAATGGAGTTCTGGGAACTCGAAGAACACGAAGTGGCCTACAGTTGGCTCCGGGCATTCAAAATCATGCCCAGGAATGGAGTTCTGGGAACTCGAAGACCACGAAGTGGCCTACAGTTGGCTCCGGGCATTCAAAATGTGGCCCGGGAATGGAGTTCTGGGAAGTCGAAGAGCACGAAGTGGCCTACAGTTGCTCCGGGCATTCAAAATGTGAATGGAGTTCTGGGAAGAAGGAAGTGGCCTACAGTTGCTCCGGGCCCGGGAATGGAGTTCTGGGAAGTCGAAGAGCACGAAGTGGCCTACAGTTGGCTCCGGGCATTCAAAATGTGGCCCGGGAATGGAGTTCTGGGAAGTCGAAGAGCACGAAGTGGCCTACAGTTGGCTCCGGGCATTCAGAATGTGGCCCGGGAAATGAAGTTCTGGGAGGTCGAAGAGCACGAAGTGTGTGACTGTTTGCGAAAAACGAGTTCGGACCCAGCACCCCGGATGCCGCCCGGACCCCCCTGTGGAGTCATCTGCTGCTCTCTTTTGACCCTATTAGAAACCTATCAGTCTTCGCTGTTAGGTAAAAAAGCGAGCGCTAGGGCAACCATCTCGCACCTACTGTGCGGCCGCCGATGGTAATCACGACCGCACGACAGTCTCAGTCTCCGGACAGGCGGCAGCCATCTGAGTCTCCAGGTAAAAAACGCCATCTCGCACCACGCGTTCGCGCTCGAGAGGAAGCAGGCGGGCTCTACAACTGGGGGAACACAAGATCTGGATCCACTTACCGGGGGAAATGAATATACGTATGCCCCTCGAGGTCACAACGACGCCCGGTTTTGGCCCCCCGTGCACGGAGCCACTCTGAAGCACGTGGGTCCGAGGCTCTGAGGGCAAACAACTGCTGGAACACTCTTACAGGTAGGGTCCCCCTTACGCGGACGCCCCCGATGGGGATGTGGCCGAACGCCGTCGAGTGGAAAAACAGCTACCCTTCCGAGCTGTCATCTCCGTCTGGCCACGCGGCCCCAGCTTCTCGCATCGGCGCCTCCGCTTCTTTAGCCACATTGGCATATATTCTCACTCCCGACGCCGATGCTGGAACTTTCCAGAGCCAAGACGGCTCCTCCTCATCCTCCCCATCTTTCCCCCTTCTTCACCCCGCGTGCTAATCATCCTGACCGCGGGGAGCGCTGCGAAC